CACTCCTGCCAATAAGTAATTCCCTTTACCGGAAACAATTGAGAAGTAAAATTGTCTTTCAATAAACATAATAAACTTTTTATAAGTTGCTCATCAGCCTCAATCTAATAGATGCCTCGAGGACTCTTGTAATACTAGTATATTTATAAAGCTTTCGAAGAGTTTTACGTAGTTGAGCTTTTGTTTCGAATAAAATTCAGAAAAACTAGCAATATTTTGACCTTTAAATTAACTAGTTTAATGAGATTTAGTTTCGAATATATTAAAATAAAACTAACTTCATTTGTAAGCTGTTATGATCTTGTTGTTCAAGTGAGTGCAGAGTCTCAAGTTCTAGAATTATTCCAGGAGCTCCCAATGGATGCCAACAGAGGTAGAAAAAGACCTTATACACCTTGGCATCATAGATGAATCTGACTTCGTAGACGAATCTGACTTCACTTGATGTTTCGATTGGACCAAAATTATTCAGATGTTTATTGCTTAAATTTAAAAGATGAAGAAATACTTTCACTTTTATTGTGTCGCAACAATATGTTTCCGAAACCGCTGCAAACAAATATTTAGATTGGCACAATTCGAAATTTTAACGACTTAAAAATTAAGAAACACTCAGCAAGCAGCATTGATAATTAACGGATTAGCTGTCAAGTGTCAAACAAATATGCATTTATGTACGCTTAATCAAAAATATTGAGCATAAAAAGACAATCAAATATTTGCGTATTTAACGAGCCTCGAAATTCACTCGCCGCAACTCATATTTCCAAAAGTTTATGTGACTGCCAATATCGGGATTGCCGCAATGTACGGAGATGCCTGCGAACACGCATAGTGGTAATAGAAACGGTAAAACGGACAACAACGGTGAACAAAGTACCAATAACAACCAAAACAAACCGTCCGACTAGCTGTTAGCGGCTCTCAGCACTGTACGCGCGGTTCCTTGTCATATCAATTAAAAATTCAAATTCAATTAAAATCAGACGCGGATTGTCGCTTTTAATGCGTTTGCGCCTGGCGGCAACCAAAGTGGCGCACCGGCAGCGCTAGCAGCAAGTGAGAGGTGCCAGTACATGTATGTGTTGGAGTGTATGTGTAGAATGCATCGCATATCGCGCTCAATAATAACACAAATCGGAAAAATATTAACAAAACTTTCAATTAAATGCGCGAAAATGTTGGCATGTTGCATGTTGCAACAATGAAGCTGAGTGGCAGGCAAATCAATGCGGCAGCGTTTATGTGTACTCGCAGAGTGTCTTCAGCGGTGCGAAATCACTGGCATGTCAGTAATGCAGTGCACAAGACAAACGCTAGATTGGCAATCTGCTGTTGCACATAACGGTTTTATTGGTTAATTTCACATATTTCATCTATAATAGTTGTTGTTGTTATTTTACGCTTTATTGGCAGTGCACTTGTTATGATCAGCATATATTATACAAGCGGCACAGACATTCTTACCTATATCTTCCCACACACACACACACGCATACATATTTACATTCGCACATAAGTAAAGAACTATTTAAATGTATTGTAAGTTCTTCGTTTCGATAATTCTAACATTTTTATGAACGAGCTTCACTTTCGTCTGCCAGTCTAGCGGGTACATTTTGACTGAGCCGTAATAGTTTTGATTGTGGAACAACTTTAGAGCTTTTGTTGGAGTGGTACAATATAAAAAATTTCTGAAATATGAAATGCCGCGGATATGGCGACTATATTGAGTATTTCTTCTTGTTGTTGTAGTAGCTACTCAAAAACTATTTAGCCATAACGCTATTATCTAAGAAGTTCAGAAAACTTGGGTCAACCGGGTCCGAACATAGGAGAGGGTTGTTGATGAGTGAGTTGCGGCCTCAATATGTTCGGTATGTCGGAATCATGTTGAAATAAACAGATCTTTAAACTGCTATAGTATTACGAGGCAACTCGAGTTCTTGTCCACAATTGGATGGACAATTGTCCTCCTCCTAGAACATCATTCACGGAAACCGTAGTTTATAAAGAAGTTGACTGTTTTTCTGTGCATGCCATTGTCTACCATTAGGGCAGTCGTTCCTTAAGTTGTATGTGTTATGAAAGACGCTGTGCTTCTGCTTCGAACAGGGGTCTGCCTTTGGCCTGGTTGTACGTAATGTTCGGAGGATATCAAAAGGATTGACACTCTTGATCGATAAAGGCTTAAAATGGTTATATGCTTATGTGGCGGGGAATTCCTTGAAAGACCGTGTCAGGAAAAATATTCCTATGTAGTATGTAGAAAATATTAAATAAGGCAAGGTAAGGTACAGAATACGTAAATAGCTGTTTTTGAAATCTAAGTCCGTTCCGATTTTGTATAGTTCGAAACAATATTTAGTATTTTCTTACAAGAAAGCTCTGGTTTAAAAAACTTGGCCCAACCGTAACAAAAGTCTCTTGTAAGAATATATCATAAATCGATTTATAATTGCAAGTAATCTTTGAATTCGAATTTTATTACAAAAATTTCAAAATTAGAATTAGAATAGGCACTTCAAAAATCAACTGAAAAAGCTGGTTTGAGTTTCTAATTTTATTTTGCGGGAGTTTTATGGAAAATACTTATAGTTAGAATTATCAATTTTATTCGATAAGTTGCTGCCATTTGAATGTTTATTACTATAGAATGTCCGCGTCCCTCGCTGTCAAAAAATTGGGACAGTCAATTTTGATATCCTTCTTTTCTCCACTATAAGATGGATGCAATAAAAACTGCCCAAACTCCCGGAACTTCTGGCGAGTCACTATCGATTTGTGCGGCTTGGCGTTGGCCTGATGGCACACAATTCCTTTTCTACTGCCTAAAGCCGGCCACTTCTGGGCGATTGCTTACTTCAGGCAGTTCAATTTGTGAGAGCACATATACAAATTAAGAGTTTGACTTGGCAACCGTTTGCGCTTGCCTACCGCGTTCAGCCACGACCGTTTTTGCTTGACGTTGTCCATTTCTGACGCGTGTTCAAACAATACTGAGTCAAGTAATCACAAAACTGTCTAAAAATGATTTTTAGTATGAAATATTATCTTTCTAACGCAGTATTGTCAAACACATTCGCACTTATAACAAGCTAGATACAAATTACTAGTCATCTTTTGGAAAAAAGGGGATTTCATTTTACTTTATCTGATATATAATATTAATTTAGTAGTATATACTTATTTAGAGGGTTTTCTTACCATTAAATTTCGGGCAGAAATAACAAGTATTCGCATGAAAGATAAATAAATATTTCTTCATTGGCTGTATGTGGGTGTGTGATTACAGTATATATATTTTTTATATTTCTTTTTCTCAAATATTTTTCCTTTCTTTTTCTTCTATCCATATTGTTTCGCAAAAGCAATTTTAACGATCTTAATGTAGTAAATGTCATATATTATTACTTGGTTTATGACTGAGTACATTATTTTACGTTTTCTGCTTATCAATTATTGCTTATTGATTACATTTTTTTTTATCGAAATTTAAAAACTAAATAGAACATAACCTAAAAAACTGATAGTAAGAGTAAATGTAAGGAAAAAAAGGTTAAAAAAAGGGCGTTTATGGCGTGAAGATGTTATGTGAGTTTTTATATTCAGCAATAATATTGAAGTCGAATTTGAAAATAAATTTTAATACAATAATTAGAAAATATAGAAGCATTTTAAAAAGTCTATACCAAAAACACTCGTTGACAATATAAAATTAGTATTTAAACAATAGTAAAAAATTGCGAAAATAAAGCATTTAAATTTGTTTTGAGGTTATACAATTGCTTAATTTTTTAATAATGCTGCATAAAATACGATTAATGCATTAATAACATATTTTATTTAATTTCTTCTTAATTAGTGAATAATGCGTAATGAACACTGTTGAACTTAAATTAATAAAAGCACAATAGGTTGCGAAATTCCAAGTATGCAAAAAAAATAAAAAATATAAAAAATGAAAAATTAATGTTATACATTTGTTTATGTGTGCGTGTGTATGGTATGTGTGTCAATAAATTAATTAGATGTTCGTTAAAAAAACGTCCTATTAGAATAAATGTTATTAGTTAACAGCCGGTGCTCAGCTGCTGCCCACATCCCTATTTGTTGCGCCACTGCTGCCACTAGCTTGCGACGTGCTTATCCCAGCACCCGCGGCGCTGTAGCTGCTGCGCTCTGAAAAGCTGGGACTTGGTGCGCGACTAACAGCCGGGCTGCGTGTCATTGGCGTGGCGCCGGGGCTGTGGCCGAGTGGCACGACCAACGGACCGATGGGCTTGCGTGTGCGTGGGGCGCCGCGTGTACCCTGATATGTTGGGCCGGCTGTCTTGAGACGCGGACGTCCAGGACCGCGTTTCACCGGCGTTGGCACCGTGGCGGTGAAGCTGGTCTCAGCGGCGCCTAAATTGGTGAGCGACGTTGAGTGTGCGACATCTGTTCGGAAGTGAAAAGAGAAGCTATTAGTCACGGAATATTTTTTAGTGGTAAAAATTAAGAATTATGATTTTTTCTAATGAATTTATTTTATATTAATTTTCGCTGAAAACAATATTTGGAGACCCATTATGGGTCTTATACAACGAAAGAGATTAGCTATGCTGCACTCACACAAGCGCGCCTCTTTCGATATCCCTTTCGCAAATACTAAATATTTCACATTAATTTCCGCTATTGGCCCAGTGGCACGTACCACAAAGCAACAAGCCGACAACGCGCTTACAACAACGCTAATTGCACTAAGCGGCTTAAGCGTTAAACGGCGCTGGCAGCGCTTCCCCCTACGCGCTACGTGCAGGACTACAATTAAACCCGTGTTTGTATGTATTCACAGACATGCATGTGCATGACTCTGCTGCTTGTGGGACAGGAGCTGGAATCACCGCGGCATTGATTTCAATGTTTTTCCACCAAAAATTATATAAAATCATCGCTGGGCATATTGTTGCTGGTTAATCCAGGTTGCGTCATTGCATAATTTGAGCGGTAGGAAGAAAAGTGGTTCGCGTTTGCGGACGGACATTCCATATGTAAATAAAGACCTCGTCTGAACGCCGACGGGTGTTTGACAAAAGAGCCGCTAATGATGCCGCCGCCGGCAACTGGCGTTGTTGACAAATCACGCGTGGAAGAAAGCGGAAGTGCGGCAACGAGTGTGTCTGCATACGAAATTAGCTTTTATGTAGCATTCCCTATGACTAGGAGTGTCATGTGCCACATGTCAAGCGTTAAACGCTGGCGAAATCGGAGCTACTACGTAGTGACGTGTAAATATCAGCGGTGGTGGCACTAAATGCCACGTTGCGCGAGCGCTTACTTGTCGCCTAATAGATTTTACTGGACGTGATTCAAAGCGAGTGTTGAGCATAAAGCCCTACTTCTAAATTATGAAATAGTTTTAATTCGTGTCTTGCAATAAGTTATGAATTCACATGAGCTCGATTCTATTTGTTGCAATTCCTTCCACTTAATTACGTAAGTTTTTTTATTGAATTTTATCAAATTCTATTCAATTGAACTCTATATAATAAAAAAATCGTCTGAATTTATCAATTCAAATTCTTTACAAATTAGTTAATTAAGTTCAATTTATCCAAATGAAATTCGATTAAAATCAATAAGTCTTAAGTCAGTTAAATTCAGTTCATTAATTTCAATAAGATTAATTACAGTTTTTCACGTCATCCTTAATAATGGAAGTCAGTTCATTTTAATTCAATTAAAATCACTGCAATTAAAATTGTAATATCTATTCTTAATCTTATGTCAGATCAGTCTAAACGATATCTTGAATATCAAAACACTTGACAATATATAATATTTTTGACCGTATACGCGTGAAGTCATAGCAATTGATAAAAGTGGGGAATGCTTGCTGAAGCTTGCATATACGCGAATTAGTCCTTCAGTATATCGATATATTATATTACCACTGCCACTGCATATAGCTGCCATACAAACTGAATGATCGGATTTAAGTCCTTGTATGGAATTTATTTCATGAGATATCTTCACGAAATTCGGCATGTATTACTGTCCAAATCAACTATACAATCTCCGGTGATATAGCACTCTCCACTATAGCATATATGTAACTGCAGTTCAAACTGACCGATCAAAATCAAGTTGTTGTAAGGA